TAACTACCGAATGAAACGAAACCTGTAAAGAGCATCGCGAGCATCCTGTCTTCCAAGTTCCTCCAGAACAGTACACAATCGACCAACAGTTGCTGTTTCTGGGCATTGCAACGCCCATTCAGCTAAAAGTTGGTCAGTTCTCGAAAGACTTTGTCCTGTCGAATCTACTTCCGGCAGCTGATCAGTGAGATTTAATTTCACCGCCAGGATAGACCTAAAAAATTGATTGGGTTATGACTAAATCCATTTGGGTGAGTAAAATCAACTCAAAACAAATATCAACAAAACCAACCAATCTCTGCCCATCGCATCTGAAGGATCCAAAAGCGCAGCTAATTCGCAACGAGATGCAAGTTGTAGTTGTGCAACTCCAACATCGATACCAAGCGTCAGCAGAGAAGCTACATCTCTTGATCCGAAACATACAACATCTGTAAACAGTTCATCGCCTTCCTGATTATTACGAATGGTTAACGATTCCGCCTGCTGCATCGCCATAATTGTTTCCGGAGCATAAATAGCCGGATTCACGAAGTGTTCCTAAATACAATGGCTGGCCAATACAGATCCTTGAACTGACTGACATTTCTTCTCAAGACCTAATTGAAAGAGAAAATACAGCAGATTAACAGCGAATGAATGAGTACTGTTACGATATGTACTTTAATCAATCATAAGAAAATCCAAACTTCTGATGCTCAGTCAACCAAGTTATCAGACTAACGAACAAGAGGAACTTTAAAATCCATAGTGTGAAATGAGCCTAGAATTAACGGTTTGGGGATAATGTTACATAGCTAATGCATTTTGGGGATGGGATATTGTTGAAGAGTGCCAAAAACCACGACATGAATTGTCGGAACAGCATTTTATAGAATAAAAAAAAAAAGAAACATATGTATAAGCCTACTCTTAGATGTTTTGGAGAAAGGAAGTGCCTTTCAAGTGAAATGCCTGGTGCTACTTCTTGAGCTGTTTGCTCCACAAGATTAGTTATGTCCTCCAGAAAATAAAAGCATGATGTAGCTATTTCACATGGACCGCGTACTTGAATTTCGACTGCATCACCGTGTAAGCGAATTAAAGCTTCCATTTGGCCAGAACTCATCTTGCTGCAATTGTTCCACTGCATCAGATCTGCGTCCATCGGATCCTAAAAGTTGGTGATAAAAGTTATGAATCTTGTTGAATACAATATACAAAACATTTCTGATACAATGATCTATGAAAAAGTTAAAACACGTACCAATAAAAATTAATCAAACATTTAAATTTTCGAATAAAAACTGATATTTAAATAAAAAACTAAATGAATTTGAACTCAAGTCTTTAGTGGGAATTTCAGCAACAAAAACAAAACGATCTAAACGACTGGCCTGAAAATCATGCATCGATCGACGTAGTGCGACTTGTATCCGCGGAAAAGTGCTCTGAAGTGAACGCTCCATTCCACGCATTGGTAAAACCCGTACTCCGCCGTAAACATAAGTTGGCCGGTCACGTTGCCAAATATCTCTAGATTATGATAAGGGACTAAATTTTGAGGGAAAAAAGATGAGAATTTTGAAAAAGAAATTAGCTAATGAAATCATTAATTGACAGATATATACTTCAAAATTCAATTAAGAACTGGAAACAACAGCAAACGAATGCGGCAATCTAGAACACTGGAAAGAAAACAAATAAATTAGTTTATAGAAATAATCAACAATTCACTTCGGAGGATCCAAAGTATTAAAGGCTGGGAATTCAAATTCCGCTTCACCATCAGAATCAGTAGGCGCACACAGTTGTAGTGTGTCCAAAATCCGTAGTAAATCAGCTAGATCGGAAATTTCCGGATAAATTGGTGCAAAATCATCCACCGAATAACAACCATTCATACGACAACGTGAAAGAAATTCTGCGGAAAGGAGATTGCCCAACACATGGGTACCAAGCCATTCTGGTGACAATACGACGTAATCCAGTTCTGATACCTCATCCCGTAAATAAACGACCTAAAAGAATTCGAATTTAATTTATAATGGAAGTGAATCTCTTCCTTAGCTCCACAATTTTCAAATAATTCTCATGCAACCATGACTCGTCGGATAAAACCAACAAGATTAATCAATGTATCAAGCATAACCTAATTTCACCTAATTTCTCCTAAATCCCTGATTCATACCAAAACAAAATATACAAAACCTGACATTTTATCATCTGAGTAACAAAACACCCAAACTTCAACAAAAAAGAGTTAAACCTCGCCAATAAGCTGCAATTGCTGGATTAACTGTCTGCAGTGGTTATCACTAGCCAATGAATTCACCTCATTCCGTACTAAAGTAGTAAAATGTGGCCATGTTATCACCGGAAAAAAAGCATGCTGCTTACGTACGCCGGCAATGTATTGTATCGTCGTGTCTAATAGGCCCAAAGGCTTTTGCAACCTCTGAAAACAGAAAAGTATTTTTTGTAAAGTTTTAATAAGTAATTCACAAACTGGATCGATGTTAACTAAAAGGTCATGGGCGATAAGTCTAGAATTTTAGCTACTTTCTTGTTATTCGGTACAATCCACCTTTCAACGTATATCGGATGTGTGCATTTTGAATGAAGTGCTGTGATGCTTAAATAGAAACGGTGAAATGACTTACCGAAAGTATGGACTCGCGTGCTTTTGAAAGATATGTTTTGAGTGATTTAATCCCTGTAAATTCGAAATATTAAATTATTACTAATTCCCTTTAATTCCAATTTTTACCCTTCCTTTCGATCTTTTTTACTTTCAACTTTCAGATCTTCATACTATCGTCCTTGACTATAGTGCAAGAAATTACATTGGAGCTGGCAACTACATCATTGTATTCAAACGCTAAATGAAATGCAGTGTTTACCTCAATATCATAGATATGGAAAACATTTTTGTTACTTACCTCGAAATTCTAAATTAAAGAAAAAATACCTGGACAATTATTTTGAGTGGAATTGAGTAAAATTAATTGATCGTGTATATCAAAGTGTGTTTCGAAACGTAAGCGAACAGTTTTCAGCATTGCATCACCATCCGATGATATATAATCGCCATCGCTATTCCTTTGCGGAAAAAGTACTGGAGTAGCGTGACTGCCAATTATTATTACCTAAATACAACAGTAACAGTAACGAGATGTTTCAAAGCAAAAATTTTTTTACCATAAAAAAAAATGTTGAAAATAGAATCAGCTTAGATGAATTCGATTTAACTTAATTTTCTATCTTTGACATCAATAAAAGATAAGCACTGAGATTTTATAAAATAAAAAAATTACGAGAGTGCTATACAAGCATCTCAAGCCATATCATTCCTAATTAAATACAACTCAAGCTGCACATCTTAACTACTAATGAATACTTTTGACGCATGACTATAAAAAATGATTTTGGATTCAAAATAAAAATTTCAAAAAAATAATGACCAAAAGTTGGTGAGCAGTAAAACCATCTTGAAATTCCGGAATTCTATTCTATTCTGTTCTATTCTACAAAAACATAATGCTTATGAAGTTATTGTCACTTTGCTCCTTCGTGAAATGATTCCGCAATGTCCAATCGGTTCACTTGGGGTGACCCGTCCCTTCAAGAAGTTCATCCAATAAAGCACTTGTTTGTATTGTATCTCTGTCGGATCGATACAACGATATACAATTACATGAACACAGTCAGTATTGCCAACAAAATGATCATATGCCATATGATATGGTTCGTAACCACCGAATTCCCAGACCGAAAATTCACCACATCCTGAAATACGTACACCAACACTATTGTAAAATCAAATTTGCAAACAAGAAAAATACATTTGCCGAGCTATGATGTTACAATCGCTCTGTGTTTTAGTTTTCCTTCTAATTCGTGATGCTTCATTAGTTTCAAAATCAAAGATAAGTATTAAATTTTATTTAAACCTAAGGTGAAACAATGCAATAAAATAAATATTTGAAGAGCAACAAAGAAATTTTAAAAATCATCAGAAATTGATGTAAAAAGTTCAAAAATTTTGACCTAAGCATACCTTGCAGCATGACATTTTGCACATCAATTCCGCGAGTATACTGCAAGTGTGGCACTACCCGCCTTCGGCCATCTTTCATATTGTTGTTCGACTCCAATGAATCATCAAACGAATTCATCCCTTCATCTAAAGGGTACCGTTATACATTTGGCTGAGTGATCTTAATTCTTGGAATTTTCATCAATAATATTTTAAATAATCTGTTACTAGAAAGTAACCTAATCTAGCTAAAATCAATAACCTTGCGAGGGATTTGATGTTGTCATTGAAGAGGAAGGAGATGGATTATCTGAAAAACGTCGCTGAACGGCTCCAATTATGGATCCAATCATGCTTCCACTCTGAAGGGAACATATCAGTCGGGTTTTACCGACACCAGCATGCCCGAATACTTTTAACTTAATTCGACGTAATGAAATTTCCAAAGGATATAACTGTTCCACATAGGCATCACGTGTTTGATCCTAGAAATGATGCAAGCATGCAACCATAGGAATTTTTTTCAATAAAGCAGAACTAGAAGAATCTCTCATTCGCACCTTTGATTTGCAACACCTGATAGATAACAAATGAAATTTATAGGCAAGGACAGTACGGAGAACAGAAACTAACTAATTTCATTTTCGCTAAAAGTGTACCAATTTGAGTATGCTCTTGAGCTAGCGCGATAATCTCAGCTGTAAGTCCGTCCTGAAATTAAACAAAGGCATATGCATCAGCAGTGAAGGTTCGTTTATTAACGATCTTAATATTACTCTCCTTATTTTGTGTTATTCTGGGAGGATGTGACAGAACAAAAAATGAAAGAAAGAAAAGAAGTCATTTATAAACCTTTGTAAAAAAATATTTCCTTATTCACAGTCCTTTTTTAGGATCAAACAAAGTTCCCGTTCTTATTAAGAATAATAAAGATCAAGTTGTATGCCGTTCATGACAGGGTCATTCGAGTGCAATATCATATATCCTTTAGGAGTTCTATAAAGAGCGAAATTTCGAGTTTAACTTCGATACCTTATTTTTCCGAAGAACATTGGCGCCAAACAAGCATAAACAGCGAACAATTTCAATATGACCTTCTTTAGCAGCGAGATGCAGCGGTGTCAATGATTTCTGAAATCAAAACAGCCTTGAAAACCACACAATTTATAATAAATTTAGTAATACACAAGTGCCCCAAATTCATCCATGCAAATACTACGAAATGAAAAGTATTGTGACAGCTATACACGCACCATAAGCACCATAATGGAGTGATACCAGATTCGAGGCCAATATAGCATTAAAAGTGATTAATTTTACTGGTATACAATAGAAGTATGTGATTGATTGATGATCCTGTTCGGCATTGCAGTAATTACCAACAATACCAAAACTGACATTCTGTACCGCATATACTCCTCTTACGTGTTACTTACGAAGACAAGTTCTTGAGTCGTTATAAATGAAATAAATTCGATCACCTAGCTCATTCTGCCGATTCCATAAGTTACAATAGTGCGAAGATAATGGGAAAACGGAACAATATAGCAAAAAGCATTTTAATGAAATCAGACTCTTATAATTAGTATAAGCATATACATATGCACATATATCCTTCAGTCAGGAGATAAGGTCAAAGAATAACAAAAATATGCAAAAGGCAAATCATTAAAAGTTGAAAAATCTTTCTGCTGTTAAGAAAAGCGTTGAAAGTTCCTTTGCTCACTCATAACGGTAACTCTTTCTGCTCATTGCGATATGAACTCACTATCCAACGATATGGCCTTAAGATCAATGTCATGCAGTGACCAAAATTAAACACTCTCGACAGAAACAATAATATTAACCTTAGTTCAGATCTAGTTCGAAATTTTAAATAAATTTATTAGTAAGAAAAAGAAAGAATTGGCACCTGATTAACAACGTCCACAAGAGCGCCAAGATGACAAAGCGTTTGAACAGCCGACAGAAGTCCGATACGAGAGGCGATGTGCAGAGCCGTGTCACCATTCTAAAAAGCACATATCTTTTTTTAACTGAAGAAAGGAAGATGGATCAATATCTCATTAAAAGGTATCTCCTTGAGCACAACAACACATGCAACCACTCTTAAACGAATGCTATATTTTAATAGAAACAATGTCGGCTTTCCCTGATAGCTCACTTCAGTTTGCTCATTACAAAGTAAGTGGAGATGTTCTAACATTTCTCAACAGAAAACTTCCATAATGAAAAAAACGGTCGAGACTGAGGGGATATTCGGTGTTTCCACGCAATTATTTTTGTGAGATGGAAGCATTGCATATTACCAGCTCGTTTGCGAATTCTCAAAATTTCTTGGTAACAAATCGATGCAATCTTACTAAGTTCCAAATGATTTAACATCAACCGACCTTATCTTGTATATCCAATTTGCAACCTTTCGTTATCAGAAGCAGTGCAATATCGATATATGAACGCCTCAAAGCAAGATGTAGTGCCGTTTGTCCGAGCTAAAATCAAAAATTTTAAATATGTCAAAAATCAAAAGTAAGTTAGAGTTCTAATCAAACACATCGAATTTCTTCGGTTATTAATCAATGGAAAGTTTTTCCAACTAAAAAACAGCAAGCAAAAGGAATAAAAATCATTTCAGATAATGCACAGTGTTAACGAAACATTTTCTTTCAAGTTAACTAAGACATTACAAACACACCATTAATAACTTCCATAAGTAATTATGTTTTCAACATTCCTAAATCACCACATCTCACCAATTTCAAAAACTCTCAAATGTAAGCATTCTAATAAAGGGTAAAAAGTGCTAAAAAGTTTCTCTTCTACAAGCTTTAAAGCTTTTCATAGAGAGTTTCACAAGGCGCCCAAGTCCAAAAAGAAGTAATTGGTTGATATTGTGAATAACTCCCCGAAAAGAAACAAATGTCATGAATGCCTCTGGGAAAGAAAAAGCCAATATCGTGAATACCTACAGAACAGGAAGAGCCAAGTTTTGAGATGCAATTACAGCACCAATACGAAACACACGACATTTAAATAATCGATCATCTACGTGTGATCAACAGTGAATAGCAGAGGAAACAATAAAAAATTCATAAAAGTGATAACTTTTTTCCTTCCCTTTCCTAGGAAAACATTGGAAGCACTATCATAACCAATATTCAGAACAGAAAAACCTTCAAAAGAATCATTAAATCTTCCAGGTGATCGAATTTTGCCACTATTCCTGACCATGGTACATTCTCATTTTATCTGTGGGTACTTATCATTAGTGTCGTGGAAGTAAAGGCGCTATCTATAGATCACTGAGGAATTTATCGTATGGATCTCAAAACTGCTCTATACAACTGTCAACTTTCAAAGTCTCTCATAAAAAGCTAGAGGGGACGGGGATCGATATAACATTACAGGAAAGTGGAAAAGTTTCGAAATGGCTTGGTTCGGAATTAGTACAAAGGGACAAGTTTAACTGAATAATTGTACTATTCCAACAAACCTACAAACAAATGCGGAAGCCGTTAAGATAAAAGAAAGAAAGAAAGTGCGAAGAAATAAAGTGGAACGAAATACCAGTTGGGAAGAGAGGAAGGGAGAAGGAGCTCCTGAAATTCGAAGTAATTTTCACCCATCCAAATCAATAACCACCACTCCCGCTATAAACCAATGCACACGCTCATTCATATGCTTCGACATTTTTTGAAATGGGTCAGAAAGTACTCCATCTTCAGATTGATCGTTCTCCATACATTTATCGAATATTTTCATTTAAGATGTGTTGGGAGGTTGACACAGTAAACTATAATGTAATTACAGATAACATCCCCTTTAATAATTTCTTCAATCCTTTTTT